TCTGTTTTATAAATACTGTTATGTTTTTTTGTTGATTGAAACATCTCAGTGTTTATTTGTCAAGTTTTGAAACATTTTCATATATGTCCAAATACTTGGCAGGATTTAAAAAAAAAGTAGTGAATTTGGTGTAAAGTTGCTATTTTATGGAAATGCCTCTAACTTTACATTTTCATTCCATCTGTAGATTTTTCTATCTTTATAAAATATTGGAGTTATTTTTTAAGGGAAAAAATAGAGCAGTAGCGTGTGAATAGCTCAAACTAAGCTTACAGATCGCATGTAAAAAGGCAAAAGTTATTTGTGTCTGTTTATATTGCTTCCTTTTTTGTAGCCTTTGTACCTGTACAGAGTGACTGTAAGGGCCGAACAGAAGAGGCTTGATACATGTAAAAATAGGACCCAGTGACACTCTTGTATTTATCTGTTATCTTTTTAGTCAGTCACTTAAAAAAAACCCCACACAAAAAAAACCCACCCAAGAAACAAAAATAAAAACTGCAAAAAAACACCCCCCCTGAAGCTGTACATTTTAACATAAAATAAATTATGATGAGCCATTTTTAGCCTCTTGTGTCTTGTCATAGTTTGATGTTGCATGGGAATTACCTCCTGAAACAGTGTTTGTTACAGTGCTCTCACATGCTTGATCTAAAGCCCATTAAAGTTGATGGGGTTTGGATTAGGCTGTTTGAGCCTAAGTGTAGGTTACTCATCATAATTGCATACACCTTGTGAAAATAAAGAGTATCTAAGATTATTTTTTTTAATAATCTTAATAAAATATTGAATAAATATGTATTTAATACATTACAAGGTTGTCAATATTTAATGTATGAAACTTCTTTCCTATAGAAAGTGTTAATATATGTGTAAAAGGGTATATGATAGTAACAGACATGATGTTTTGGACTGTATCTTAATGGTAGAATTGTAATCTCTTCCTTTGTCATTGTTGCTGGTTTACAAGACGATACAAATCTTGCGTTGAACCTCCGAGTTCTGTGTATATGCATGTATATGTGCACACAAAAACACATACACACATATATGAACACTTCTAGCAATAGAAGGTCTGTAAAACTCAAGAAGGCTGTCTACGTGGAGCTTGTGAATGGACCGAGTTCACATTGGGTGCGTGTGAATCTGCACCAGAAAAAAATCCTTGTAAGAATTTTTCAAAATGCTTCTAATGTGAATGTTTCTACTGAATCCCCCCTCTAGCCCACTGAAACTGCAGGAGGGTTGCCAGCTAAGGTGAAAGGATTGGTCATCTTGACTGAAAACTGTATGTCCCCGTTCCAGTATATAAAGCAGCTTTATAGGTGATATTTTATATGCTCAAAAGTCAGAGAAATAAGTATTTCTTTAAATAAAAACTTTAAAGTGTGTGGCGTTGCCAAATCAAGAAATTGATACTACAGATTTATGCGCATAACCTGTTCAATGTTAATATGATGGGGCAGCAGTCTAAAATAGTGGATCTGAATGGGAGCTAAAATTGCTGGTCAAATGGTAATTCGGAGTAACTTGTATTTTAGGAGTTCAGAATGCTGGAGAAGGAGAGCACAATATAACATCTTTGTTCATGCACTTACACTGTCAAATTTGCTTTTTGAAGGCAGAGTATTCATAGTACTTAAACTACGTGTGTGTTTGTCTTCACAAAGTCACTGTCGCCTTTTTTTATGCTTAGGAAAAGGGAAGGTGAACTCAACACAGTTAATGTGCAGCCTTCAAGTGTGTGTAACTAGGACCTTGTATCTTTGTTGAATAATTGCATCTCAAAGTAGCACTATGTTTTGTGATCTTTCATTTGTATGTTCCACAGTGAGTGAAAAAGGCCTGGGTCTTTATCCACTGCTGTTTAGTTTCAGGTTTCCAAGCCTGTAACATACAGGCAAATCGGACCTTCTTGCCATTTCTGCATGTGCTAACCTGAAACGGAGCATCCTGGCTCCAGCATATTGCTAAAATTCTGTATTTGCAATACATAGATTAAAACTTGGGTGGAAAATTATGTATTATGTGTGCACAACAGGCAAGTTTCCAATTTTTTTTTTTAATTTCAGAACTGAATTCCTTTCAGGAGGACAAATGGCTGTCCTACATCTTTTCTCATAGTGACTATTCAGCTGTAAATGGCATTACTGCACTACAATTTCTGTTTTATAAGGCGGCTGTCTTTCCTGGACAGATCTACCTGTTCTACGTATTGTGTGGCCGTTGCAGCGTCAGTTTTGACTGTGCTATAGCACTATCTCAGCTGAGAATTAGCTCTTTTCTTTTAGTATCTCAAAAGAATTCACAGAGTTGCAACAGATGATTCTTGTGAAATGCAGGATGTTTCCCTGCCCATGCAATCTTAGCCTTTGGGTTGACAAATAGGATACTTCATACCACTAGTGATTTGCTAGAATGAAATAAACTTGCCTCGTTCTGCGTGTCCATTGCTTGCAGACCTGGCTTGTAGGCGAAGTCGGTGCTGCTAACACTTGCTAGTTAGCAACTTGCAATGGTTGCCTACTTTGTGGAAGCTACATGTTCCAGCACTTTTGCCTTTTCTGATTTAGTCTAATTGATTCTGGGAGAATGGTAGGGAAAAAAGCTGGGAAGTAAACAAGTATGTTTACTTCAGAATTGCTTAATTAGCATAGCTGTACCAGCAGAGTGCTTCAGGCAAGACCTGGTTCTAGGGAAGATACTTGTCCTTGGAGCAGAACCTACTTCGTCTGGAAGCTGCCAAATCACAGTACTCCTGAAAGCTGCACTCTAGCCCTTTAGCAAAACAGGAATGGTAAGTGTTGTCACACTCTGGCTACCTCATCTCCTGGCAGTGGACAAAACATAACCAATTTTTGACTAACTTTGTGAGAAGCTGTGTGATGTAAGTGGAAACAGAGGACTTCTAACTGTACAAAACTTTCACGTTAGATCACTGTCTGTGTGGTTTTAGTTTTATAAGCTGTTTAATTAGTCCATCAGGCAGACTAGTTGATGGAAACAAACTCCATTTATATACAGTGTGGTAAACAGAAAGACTGGGCTTGGCAATTATCTGTAGTGCTGAGGGTGATCCTATAACAGCCTGTTCTGTGGAGACTGACACCTATAGGAGCAAACAAACTGACCAATGTAGTAAAGACCTATGACTGTTTTTCTTCCTCTTCCCTTTACTTTTAATACTTGTCTGTATTAAAACTACGTATTTCCAGCATTGTTTAGACCTATGTAGTAATACAGGTCAGCTCTTCCATAGCGAAGCTCTGGGGTGTGCATTGATCAAAAGTTGCTGTTTTGAGCTTTGTGGAGTAGGGAGGGAGTTTGTAAGAAGACAAAAGGTAGGATTACAGTTTTGGCTTTATCATAACTTTAGTTGAGTAACTTAAGTTCTTGGTAGTTTTTTTCCCCATCTACTAAATAAGAATAAATCAGCTTAATTAAGCCATGTTTAAGGCCTTCAAGTAGTATGTGTAGAAACACTGGAATACGGGGTTCTATTGATTTACTTCTTGAGAAATCAATTTTGTGCTATTTTTCATCTCCATGCAAGAATAGCAGCTCGTAGTTTCTGAGTAGCTTGGAATCCTGTCCTTTGGAAACTGTTGATACAGCCTTCTATTGCTATGTCAGCATTGCCACGTGCGAATTTCTTAATTTGCTATGCACGACAAAATGAGTGGGAGCTACTTAAGAGTTCTAGTATTTTGCTTTCTATCAGTAGTTGGGAGGCTGCTGTTTGAAAGTTTTGTCAGTCTCCACCAAAAGCAGCTGGGCCTCAGGAAATTAAAATTTTGCCTGTGTATTTGCTCAAGTCCCAGACTGCAAAAGAAATACCCATCTCCAGGCCCCAGAAAACCTTGTTCAAATACAATTCTGCATGTAAATCAGCTACAAATCCTCTTCCAGTTACAGCAGTCATCAAGCTACCATGCAGGATACAAGAAAGAAAATAACTGTAACTTGACTGAGATATGAGCTGTTGCATATCTGGGTTGTGAATTAAGTTGCAGTAGACGGTAAGGTGCTCTGAAAAGGTGTATTTGAATGTCTATGGAAGTAGATGGAAAGAGTTGAGGGACCCCTTCCAAGAATTCTTTGACTTCTTAAACCAACATTGTGACTGCTCATTTATTTTTGAAGTGTCAAGTGGCTTCCTTTTGAGTTTCCTTTTATTTCTGTTTTTTCTGGGTTTTTTTCTAATCCAGGTGTAGGAATACTTAATTTGCTGTAAGTCCCAGAGTTTGTGTGTATCATGAATATTGTTCACATCGTGATGTCTAATTTGTTTTTTAACAGTAGTCTAGTTGTATTTATTGTGTTCTGCTGTGTCTGAGAATTTGAAGATAAGGTCTTTGTTACACAGATAAATACAAATGAGAAGTCAAAAGCATTGCATTATGGGTGCCTGCAGCCTTGGCTACGGTTACTGTTTGGAGAGGAATGATTTACTGGGCTTTGGGCCCCAAAAGAAAGTGAAGGAATAGGAAAGCCTTCACACTAGACATGCTAAGCCTGTAAAGAGCTGTTAACATCTACAAAAAATGGTTTAAAGTTGTGCTCAACTCTGTTTGGTTTGTAGCATATATTCGCAGTTCTCAGTGGCACATTTCTGCCCTGTGTTCTTTTTTTAAAGTATCCAAGACTTCTACAGCCCATAGTGCACCAAAGTTACAAAGTCTTCGTCAGCTGGTAAAGACCAAGAGAAGTCTCCTGTGCTCTCGGTGGCTAGGTCATTCCTCTCGGGCACTGAGGCAGTAAATAGCTCTTACCTGATACACTGAATTAGGCAGAATTCCAGCAGGGAGGGTGATGACTTGACTTTTTTGCAGATGCAAAAAAGGTAAACATGGCTTAATTGTGATCTTCCGCTACAGTATATTTTAAGACTATCAAATACTGGTGAGGTGGCAAAACTCTCACTGTCTCAAAACACAGTTACTGATGGTTTGTCTCAAATAGAGTAAACCGAACGAGTTTAGGCAGAAGAAAAGTAGATCCGGTGTCCCCATTTGTGTATTTGGACTACTTCTGTCAACAAACACAATTACTAGCAACTGTATTGGAGCACAATAATATATTAAGTTGGCTAAAGCTGAGATAGGAGGAAACATTTGGTAGTGGTAAATATAAACAGTGGTGTCTGGAAGTACAGCAGCAGCTTTCTCCTGGTTAGTCAGGTCACAGATTTTTTTAAAGGCTTCACATGTGTCTCTTGCCTTTTAAATCAAAACTAAAATCTCATTAAAACTGGTTATAATCCATTATTATTTAGGGGCTTATTAGGGCTGCACAAGTTCAGTGTTGAACTTCCTCTTAGCAGTGTAAAGGACATCCTGTTTTTCTAGCTGTTAGTTTTTTCAAGTACAGGAAAACAAGTCACAACACATAATTTTCTCAGTCTTTTTTTTTTTTCAGTGGAATAGTAAATTGACTTGGATACTGTATGTATAGGACCTTTTTAAAATTCAGGCAGTTGAAGCATTTGGGAAAAACAAGTTAAAACTGAAACTGCTGAAATGTCATGTGTATTTATCTCCTTGTATTGTCCCTTGTATCTGCTTATGCATCAGACCATCTCAAGGGTCTTGCTTTATTTCTAGTTTGCATGGTCTGCTGCAAAGTCCATTGTGAAGACTGGGTAGTTGATCCTCATCTGGAGGCTCTCTAAATGCTGTGCTGCCTTAGATTATTACTGTGAAAGAAGAAATGGGGATGGCAGGAAACAGCACAGAAAGGCAAACTCCTGCAAAATCCTTCAGGACTCTGGGACTAAACAATTCATCTGTGCTGCTACCATCTCGGTATTTGTCCTGCAAAATTTCTTCAGGAATGTCTAGCTCCACTCTTTTAAAGGCCATGTGCTTGGGTTAGGATCAGGATTTGGGGGGTACTCGGCTAGAAGGGTTTTCTTTTAAGTTGTGCCTGCTTTTGTGCTGTAAAAGCTCTTTTACAGAGGGTAAAATTTATTTGTTGATGTCACATGGAATTCTGCTAAGCCTGGAACATTCAAAGAAGATGGGTTTTAAATTTGGCTTCCCTTCTTTCTCATCTTGACAGCGTTTGAAATGACTTTGTTTTTCCTTCCAAATAACAAATGATCCTTGTGACTGTGTAATTAACTACACCTTCCCCTCCCCTCCTTTTATGGAGTTTCTTTTCCAGTAGCACAGCCCTGCCAGGAACAATACTAGATTGTGGTGCTGTTCTCGTCGTTGTCAGATGGTAGGCTGTTTTTGGTGTTCCTCCTCTGCAGTGCCAGCGCTATGTCCAGTTCTCTCAGCTGCTTCAAGAAGCCCCGGTTTGGCAAGATGCATCGGTGTCTTGATACTTGCTCAATGGCATCCACCACTGTCATGTTCTTGTAAATCATCAGGTAAGCCAAGACCAATGTGGCTGACCGGCTGCGACCCATAGCACAGTGAACCAGAACCTTGTCTGTGGAAACAAAGAGAGATGATGCAGAGATGACACTGGGTAACTTTTCTTTTTTTTGACAGTGAAGGTTTCTGTAGCACTCCTGCTGCGTTTGGTGGTTTGACTATCCTTACCAGCACTTTTGTAAGGCCCGTCTTTTTACAGGTGGGGAAACTGAGGCTGTAAATCTTACTGTAGTAACTGAACACCATCTACATTGGAGATGACACATTTAATCCTAAACCAGGTAACTTTGAATTTTTTTGTGAACAAAGGTTGCAGAGAAGGCCTGGGGGCTGCAGCCTTGCATTAAGTACCATAGCAAGCCCTGCTGCAGCCTCATCTTGCATGCCTTGCAAGCAGCGTGTATGTAATTCTGTGTTTGGTTTGGTACGTTATGGAACCATCCTTCTGTGAGGATAAATGGGATGCACGGAGGTGTCTTTCTGAGTTCTACCAGCTAGATACAAAAGCTAACCAAATTTGATTATTTTTTGTTGTTCTGACAGTAGTGTCCTTCAAGAGCTAGATTGCATCACTTTATGCCCAAATACTTCATTTGTAAAATACACCTAATGAGGCTTTTTTAAAGCTCAGTGGTATTTTTGAGGGCAGAGGATAAGAAGTGCCACAGAAGTTAACAGGCATATAACCAGGGGGATAGAAAGAAACCACTTCTTAACCTGTAGAAAAGCTTCTTTAGAAATCTCTGGCTAGTCACCCTTACCCTATCATGTCGAATGAGAGTAACTTTTCCCCACCACCACCTCCTCTCTGTTTTATACGATCGTCTCCTTGCAGTAGTGGCCTGTCTCGTATACTGTCAATGCAGAGTCTCTGCTAATAGTTTTCATCTCTGAATAAATGTGCCTCAAGATTTTGCTTTGTGACATTGGCTTGGTTTAACTTTGGACTTCCAGAGGCAGAGTGTCCTTGGGTTCAGGTACTAGCAAGGATGTAAGCCAAAGTGAAACCTTCCTCATTTGCTGTGGCTGGGGGGGGGGGGGGAAGAGAACAATAAGTGGGTTCAGGTCTGATTGACAGGTTTTGAAACACTTCAAAAGATTTCCAAAAATGATTCAGAGCCCTTGAGGGGGTCTCACAAAGGGTTGAACTGCTGAAGGAAGTAGATTTGGAGCACTCTCTAACACCCTGCTAAGCTGAATTGCCACAGGGAAAAAAAAAATCCTATCAGGGCCAATAATAGTTTATCTCTGTTAGCTATGCCTAGTGAGAAGTGTTGGGTGCAAAGCCATGACTCCTGCCGATTAACTCCTTTGCTTCCAGGCACAAGAGGATGTCTTGGCGCAAGCAGCATTGCTGTGTAATGGATGCATCAAGAACTGCCAACACTGGAGGATTAATGGTTACAGTCTGCATCCTAATACCAGCAGATAGTCTTAGAGGCATCTTGGCAAAATTCCAGTCTCTCTGATAACTAGAAGTGTCTCTTCCTCTCCTGGAAAATGATAATCCCTTCTATTATTACTGCAAATATTTGAAATGGATGAAAACTCTCATTTGTTCAGCCCTTCATGCTTCTCTTTAGAGCTTCCCACCTTGTAAATGGGTTGCTCTTGAGGTGATAAAATACATGATAGGTCAAGGAAGGCTTTGCTTTGTGTGGGTGGCAAATGCAGGTGATCTAGGAGAAAATGTACAGTTTTATATTGTGTTAACAAAGGCAAAAAATGGCCATATGACTTTCTGAAATGCCTCCTGGTTGTAGGAAAATGAAGTCCGTCCTTTCCTGTGTGTGAATATTCAAGATCTGACTGCCTGTTACAGCAAAACGCAGGGCCACGTCCCTTCTGTACTATTTAGTAGTCTTTTCAGTTCTGACGTAAGGACCGGTCTGAACCCTCTTCCCTCAAGAGGGAGTCCGCTCTTGCAGTCTTTGATTCTGACCGCTTATATCTATCCCGGCTGAATATAAAATGTCAGTGCACAGAGCCAGAGGTCTGCTGAGTGGTGACAGGTCCCTGAACTATTTTGGTCACTTGTTTTGGGCTTGTGTTTCTTGAAAATGTGTCTAGATGCAGCACTCGCTTTCTAGAGTCGGATGGAGTGATGAATGTTGAGGTGTCTTTGGTCAAGTGCCTTGGGTCTTTGTATCTGTCTCGTATGTTTCTTCTCACATTGCTTTTATCATCTCAGTTTTCAGTGTATTTTTTCCCATGATATCTTCACATGAAAACGGTATTCCCCTCTACTTTACATTCTGAGGAACTAAGACACCAAGGGAATGAGTAGTAAATCTGTAGCATAGAAGGGAACTTAAAAACCTCTTAAAATAATGTCTTCCTTTCAGGTTAATCAGGCCTCGCTGGGATAAATTTTAAGCTGGCCTATGGTCTGAATTGCATGTTTTGGGAAATATTCATGCACAGCTGAATGATAGCATGCGTAATTGCGAACAGTTCGAGTTTGCCTCTAAAACTTACTCTTACAACTGAGCTACTTTCACTGTTCTTAAGTCCATCTGCGCATGCTTAAATTCTGCAAATACTGCTCTGATCAGGGAGTTTCTTAACCACCACAAAGATTTTGAAGGTTAAGTCAGAATTACTGCATTAGGACTGTGTTTTGACAGCATCCAAATTGTCAAGCTTTCTGGCCTGTGGCAGAAAGAGGCCTCTTCATTTGCCTGACAACTTGTTTCAACAACATTGACTATTGAGCAGCTTCCCAGCAAAAAGCATTGTATGAAGACATGTATTCAATGAATTTGATCACTTCGCTGGCTACAGGTCACACCCCAAACTATGTGATCCAGTCAAAGCAAATGCATTAATACATACATTGTGGTCACAAAAGTCGAAACTTTTTTTCTTTTTCCCCTTTTCCCCCTCTTTGCATTTTCTAAATTCTAATGCAAAGTAGCAAATGAGTGTAATGGTGTTACTGATCAGAAGCATTTAGCACCGTATACTGAAGTCCCGCGTTATTACCACTGGAGATAGGTACTTGGTTACTTACTATAAAATCCTGTTCAGGAATCTGGATGCTATTTGTCAGTCACGAAGATGCACGCAAATAGTCCTTTCATTAGGCACTTGAAATACATAGCACCTTTCTACACTAGATGTGCATTCACAAGTAATGCATTTATGTTGTTGGAGGAGAGCACTAGTTACTTGCCGCTAGTCTTTTCTCCTGTAAGTGTAAGAGACATCAGTCTACTCTTTAGTCTAGCTTCTGGAGTCATTCTGTTGTTCCAATGTTGTTCCAATTTCAATGGGTATTGGAAAGCTATTGTCGTGCATTCAACCTCAATCTCGTGGGCCATGCATATGTGCCTTTATGCATATCTTTGGCTGGGATAGGAGATGTACATTTAGTGTACTTTTCCCTCATGAGAAATTTAAGAGCTTGCTCTTTTTCTTCGGGTGTTACAGTAATTCTTTATTTTATTGGCTCCATCAGAAAAGATCCTAACTATCTTGTTTAAAAACCATGTGAATGTGGCAGGCAGCGCACAGCTACAGAAATGGTTGCAGTTGGTAGTATCTACTTCAGTGCAGATTTTTTTTTTTGTCTCCCCCCTGCCCCCTATCCTTCCCTGCCTCAATATTTATTGGGATGCAAGGGTTTTTTTTTTCCTAGCCTTTGCTGCTTCCCTTGTGCTTGTTTCTTTACCTCCGTGCAGCAGACAAAGGTGTTACAGGAACAGGAGGGTGATGGGAGTGAGGAAGTCTGCATTTCTTATTTGAGCTACTCCAGTCTGATACTGACCTCTGGCCTCCAGCCAGGGCTAGACACAGGTGCGTGTGAGTTATCCACTCCTTCCCAAAGGCAGTGCTTCAGACATACTTTTTTTGAAATGCCAGGTACCTTTCTTCACAAGCAAGTAAGCTCCTGAAGCAGTTTCTCCTGCTATAAGGGCTTTGATTTTTAAAACTGAACTGCTTTCAAGACTTTCTCCTGAACAAGGGAAGGGACTGTTGCTGTAGACTGTACTTGCTGAAAGGGTAAAATTGTAAAGACCTGGCTGGCTATTGGGGGCAAGCTAGGTAGTAGCTGGCTGCAGCTGAGCTAAACAGCCAAGAACAGAAGCTGACACGAGGCTAGAAACTTGATATGTGACCCTCTGATATTAAGGGCTTTGTAGGGCAGCAGGAAAGTCTTAAGTTTCCCAGATGGTTTCTGGTAAAATATCCCGTAGTGATTTAAAAAAAAAAAAAAGCATGTGGGGGGAAGGAGTAGGAGTAATATTGAAAGCCAGTGTGAGGCCTAGGCTGTAGCACTTCACATCAGTGGAAAGCTTTCTGATAGAACACTGCTGGAGGTCAGCAAATAATGAATTGTAGTAATCAAGCTGAGAAATTACAAAGGCTTTAATGAAATGTTTCTAGATCTCTGCTGTCAGAGTTGTTTCGGCCCCCTGCTGCTTGGAAGATGGCAGAGAGAAATCTGTTATAGCTTGGGGTAGATCTGTTGGCCAGGTAGGAAGATGGTTTTTATGTTTGTAGAGTGAATGTAATGCTGCAGAGCGTGAAGCTGTGGAGTGACAGCCTTGAATCTCTGCAGAGCACTCCATGTTCCACTCCCACTGCTATGCAACCAATATGCATTAAACCTTTCTTAATAGGGACTACTTTGAGGAAAAGACAGCTAATTCGTGGAACCTATGCAATGTCTGATTGTTTCTGATGTGTTTATGAAGGAGTCAAAACAAAAATCTCTATCAGACAGGAGACCTTAATGCAAGCTGTGATGTGGACTTCTATCAAAGTGCTTGGTAAGGGGCTCTTGGGCTGGTACCAGCTCTGCAGTGAGAAAGGTCCTAGTTACATCACTACCTTCTCTTAAACTAGTTCCCTGCTACTAGTTCTATATTCTCTGTTAAACTGTATTGGACTTGTTTCATTCCCACAAGGTTGAATGCCGTGGAACTATGCTTATAATCAGATGGAGTAAATACCGTACTGTTTTTAACCATTTTCAGCACCCTCCTTACTTCTTTCATCCTGAAGCGCTTTATCAATGAATTTAGAAGCTGAATAAAAGAACTGGCTGAGCTTGAAAGTGGGGAGATCATCTGCTTCCACTCCGTGGTACTCCACAGTCATGTCGTGATAATAATCTGGTCCTGTGTCCACGTTCCGCTGACCATGGGCGGCGTTGAGGATGTGGGTGAAGCCTGCTTTCTCAAGGCTGTAGCGATCTAACGCAGTTTTCCTGTTAAAACAAGAGCTGTCACGTAAGTGAAGAAGCTTCTTCCCAGCAAGCCAGAAAAAAAACCCCTCTGATTTGGTATGTTCTAAATGTTAATGAAACTGATAATGCTTCAAAAATGCATCGTTTACCATTGTACAGATTTTAAGATACTGTCATTCACAGTGAATGATCTTTCTGGAGTTCATAACTCTCTCTCCCAGGTCCTTAGAGCACCTTAAAAATGACTTTATTTTCCTGGCACCTTTGTAATGTAGGCAATACTGGCTTCTATCCATCTTGTACAAGAAGAAACTCGAGATACAGAAAGAAACAGAGTGAATTCTTTAAAGTCATAAAAGCAAATCAGTGGCAGAACTTGAAATAGGACCCATGAATGCTGCTTTCCCCTTCTGTCCAATCAATTGATAGTGCAGAACTAATAAGAGGCAGTGATATGTGAGTAGTAAGATCATCTGGGATTCAAAAAGAAAGCTCTTCATCCCTAAAAGAAGTTACTGAGTTTTTTCTCCATTTCTATTTTGAAAAATAAAAATAATTTTAAAAAATAAATACAATTTTTAAAATCACCCTTCTGTGGTCACAACTCCCTATCAGGTTTCCTTTTACTGTCATGTTTGGTTAAACCAGAGGTCTAAAGCAAAAAGAACTAGATATGGAAATTGGATATTAGCCTTCAGTGAAAACTGAAAGTCATATATTTAGCCCAATATTCTAATTTATTGTTGTCCTCTCTTCCCTTGGACAAGGGAAGCCAGGAGAGGAAATCCTAGGGTTTTGTGTGCCCAATACCCGCTCTAAGTGCTTGCCAGCACCCTGAAATACCTCAAAAAGTGCAGAGTTTTTAGACAGGCGTGTAAAAACTTTTTTGTTCCATTACAGAAAGCTTTTAATTTTGGAAAGTTTTGTTCTGGAAAAGCTGTCAAGTTTCATTAGTGCCTGGGAAGACTACTGAGCTTTTTACAAAAAATTGCGTAGGCTTTATTCTGTTAATATATTTTCACATAACTACTGCTGCCATAAATGAATTAGCGCATGATGTGAAACAGCTTTTTCCAACCAGAAGTACCTCTCTCCATGAATGTTTCCTGAACATTTCAATGTGTAAATGCAGCTGCTGTCACACAGGACGTTGTGGTGGGCTACCTGTTGTGTTTCATAATTCTAGTGGTGATAGCTCAGAATGGCTTGTAGTTGACTCCACCTTCCCAGCCTCTGTCGAAGTCAAAACCCCCCTTTGAGCAGTCAAGAACCTCGTGATTACAGCATTTAACTGGGATATGGCTGCTGAAGGTCTTACCTATGCTCTTTCTGATTTAAATTAAGCTCATGACAATTGGCTGTTCTGAGTAGACCTTTCTCCCTGCAGAAATTCCTTTCTGGTCAGGAATGATAATGTCTTGTCTCTGCTGGCATTTTTGCTATGAGATGATGTCGTAAGTCCCATATGCGATGATTTAAAAAATAAATAAAAACTGGAGTTAGTGTGGTGATGCCTGCCTAAGCTCGGTAGACTCTGGAGGACAGAGAAGTAGCAGCATCTTGCTGCTAGTGCTGTGACTTGCCACCTTCACCTCAGGTTAAATAGTGCTCACTCCTTCCCTTTGTATTCTTGTTGCAGTGATTGACCTAAAAAGATGTTACTTTTTCTCCCTCCTTTTAGAAGACTTGTGCCTTAGGATTCTCTTCAGGTGGATATGCTCTATACACTTTGCCAGCAAAGGCACTTCAGCTCTGGATATAAGGATGGCCAGTACTTAAAAAACAGATTAAATGTCCTGGCCAAAGAGTAAAGGTGCAGTGAATAACTACTTCTCTTGGTTTTGATGTGCTTGAGGCGAACTACAGATTCTGCTTTCAAATTAAGTCTTACTTTGTTTCGCCTCCCTGATGCTGGGATAGAGAAAATACATTTTCCATTCACCAGGCTTGGCCCAAAGCATGTATCCAGCGAACTATGAAAGACTGATGGTTTCAGGTCAGAGACCTGTGCTCAACTAGAACCCCTGCAAGTGGAGACCTACATGCTGAATAGCAAGTAGGACTGCGGTGTAGTTAGGGTCAGTGAAAAAACAAAGTTTTTGATGGACTGTAGATACTGCCAAACTTTGGTTTCTGCAAGCACTGCTCAGGCTAATAAATAGCATTTGAATTAAACGATGAAGTTGTTCTGAGCAAGGACAATGTCAAACAATAGGTCACATGACAACATTAACATTTGACACTTACATTCATCTGAAATCCAATTTTCCTGTTTCCTTGATTAGGTTCTCAGGAGATTGCCTTTTGATACAGTGGGTGCATCTAATGCATTTGTTTCTGACGGTCGCGCTCACAGTCTTGTTCTGTGTCTTAGGATCTCATTTTTAAGTGTTCAGTGGCCCCAGTGTTTCAACGGGTATTCAGAAAGAAGGGATACTGTCTTTCGCTAACTGCATAAGCAGTCGGCTCAGTCTGGCCAAGTTCCTGGGAACTTCCCCCTCCACCTCCCAGTCTTGCCTGTAGCTGCATACTGTGAATTTGGGGCCTGGGATGGGATTAATCCTCCTCCTTTCTATTTAATCAATTAAAGGCAGTGCAGTTAGGTGTTCATTTTGCATCACAATTTGCATTAGCGTGGTCTGGCCCTTGGCCTGTTGGAGTTTGGGAATACGCGTGTTGTTACTCTGTTAGATCACTCTGTTTCCCATGGTTTGGGCTGGAAAGGGAATGAGAAGCAGCAATGGATCAACCTTGAATGCTGTTGCAAAAAGCCCATAATGCTCAGATGTAACTAAATCATCTTCTGTGAAATCACTTATTTTTAAAGTAAATTATAAATGTACCAAGAGGGTTATCTACTCCACTGGTTTTGGCACTGAAGAATTTGTACTGTTTTCCTCAATGCTTGGAATAGGCTGATTTTAAAATGTTACCTGCTTTTTAATTACGCTTGATATGTAAACTGATTAGCAATATCCTTTTGGACTGAACGTAACCTTGCCCAATATAATCTTTTTCTTTATAACATGGATGCACATTTTCTTCTTTCCTCTGACGTTGCGAATCTAGAAAACTTCCAGAAAATGAATGCTTAGTGTTGAGCACTCAAATCTGTTAAGACCTCCATATTTTCACGGGAATAGATACTCAGACTGTGCTGTGTGTAGGTGTTGTAGAACCCGTCAGTGGAACCAAGATCTAAAACATTTGCTCTGGCTAAGTGGAACATGGTCAGTGTACGTCCTGTGGGTGTGTGGCTTGTGCGTCTGCAGGCTGAGCTATTGCGTGTGATCTGTAAAGAGGATGTCGGGCACCTTTCTTCCAGCGGATACCCTGGACAGTATTATCTATGGAAAGCTTTTCCTAAGGTTTCTAAGACACAATGTTGCATAGAGATGTGAGGAAACAGTTATTGTGCAATACAAAATAGGGTTCACTGGACTGCGAGAGGTGCCTGCCTTGGGCTTTAGAATCTGCATCTTTTGAAGAAGAGCCTTTTGAAGAAGGCTGAAGTAACCCTTAATCTTTTTAAAGAGCAAGAGTGCTTGGTTTCAAACTCAGTATGGAGATTAGGAAGCACTTACGCTCTTTCTCCTTTCTCCCCATCCCCCCCAGACTTGCACTTGATAATTATGTTTTCATAAAAGATATCTCTACTGTTCTTTCAAAAATTTTCCCTGTTTTTTTTTTTGTGTAAAACCTTTCCCCAAAAGCTAGGCAGACAGCCCAGTTGGACCACCGCTTGTCATACTGACCTGGGCTTGTCTGCTTTTTCACTCCCATCAGCTGTCTTTTTACTTTGCCCATTGATCATAAATACTGTTGGGCAGGGATGGCCTGTGCTGAGATTCTGACACTGCCATAATATAGGCAGTTAAACTTGAGGTCATGCTGGGTCTGCAGCATGTTGATTGCCAGTTAACGGAGAGCAAGAAACAGGTTGTTAAGCCTTCATATAGGGGGACCCATATGCTTGTAAGTGGAAATGTTACTGTGCCCTTTGACGTGTTTGCTTGGACTGCCTTTAGCCATCAGTGAACGCCGGCTTTGTGTGACGGGCTGGCTTGCTTTCCAACCTCAACTGAATCCGTAGTGTAGATGCCGTTGTGGAAGCATCCCTCATTATCTGTTTACTTTAATCAGAGCCTAACTCTTTGTGTGTTTCATCATGTGTGATAGTCCTGGTTACGTCCCAAGGGGGAATGCTTTTGGTCTTCCTTGCAGTTTTTACCATGCCTGAGGTATCAGTGTTTTAGATGAAAGGAAGGAATAAATCAAGCATAAATATCTGCAAATATCTGATTGGTTGAGGTGACTAATAGCATAGGCTCATTCAGGGGTATATGAATCATATATCTTACTGGAGGATTTATAACTCTATTTCTAATTCACTTTCAGCTAGAAATGGCACAGATTTTTTTTTTTTCCCCTTGCAGTTGGCTCACTACCAGAGTTTAGTAGTCAAGCTAACAATATTCCTCTTTTTCCCTCTTTGGGTGCTGCTGTTTCCTAATAAATTGCAATTAATATTTCCATTTTTGTGATTATGGTTGAATTTTAAGTAGCCATTGTAAATAAGAGTTTGCTACAAATGCCAGCGTAGGTGAAGCCATAAGCATTTGACTACTCTTGCAATTGATTTCATTTTGTATATCTCCACCATCTGTGCTATTAGCACTTGATTTCCTCTTACACGGTGCAGCTGTGGTCTCCAGTGTCTGCCTTGAATGCCTTCCTTTGCAGAGAAGGTGAAGTGTGGCACTGGGAGATAACAGTGAAAATTTCGGTATAATTCAGTTTAGTAAGAGATGAACTGGGCAGATTGGTCCCTTGTAAAAACTCATCAGCTCTCCAACTCGGAGCACATAAACATATGCTAAAAGTTAAGCATACCCAGAAGTCCTTCTCTCCATAGCAAAGCATGTTAAGCAAAAGCTCGGTGCTTTGCTGAATCAGACCCTGCATTTACTGTAGGACAGATGGACTCATAAACATGTTTTTAAAGTTCTGAGGCAAGGGGG